GGCCCGGCCGGCGCCCACTCCCCGCCCGGCGCCCGGACCCCCTCCGCTCCCGCGCCCTCCCCCATCCCGGAGCTGTCAAGGAGGAAAACGCCTTGCACACACCTTGGAATGGACGGGCGTCTCAGTCACCGACTCGCCAAACTCTTAGAAGGTGTCCATTGGTCTGTAGGGAGGTTTGGGCATGGAGTAGGAGCCGCTTTCTTATTATTTAATAATGTTGGAAGTGCCGGGTCCGCTGCCAGAGTTGTGGGTCATGTGGGCACAGCAGAGGCTGGCTGCTGCCAGTACCAGGGTTTCCTGAGGATCCTGAAACTATGATCTCATCCTCCTCATCCGCCTCCCCCGCCCCTCTCTCCGCGGGCGCGCACGCACAGCACACACACACACACACACACATGCACACACACGCATACACACCCTCACACTGCATGCACTATCCTCCTTCCTGGACCGAAATATTCCTCCGGGGAAATACAGTGTTCATGCTCTTCATTGAAAAAAAAAAATCCTTCTGGATAGAGATTTTTCTCTTTCAAAGCTCGATTTATGTGCTTTGTTTATTTGCTACAGTTTTCTCTCACACGTGCAAGGGATCCGAACAGAGCCTCAGAATTAAAATTAAAAATAATCATCCTCTTATGTTGACCCAGATTTTGGTCAGAACCCGGGAACTCAAACAGTACAATTTCAATTTAAAATAAAAATAATATGCCAGGCTTGAATATGGAATTGATAACACCTGAGATGTATGCAGTGGGTTTCCTTCCCAAGCTGCAAACATTTCCCAAACATTACCTCATTTATTTGCAGAGCATCTTTGCAGAGGAGGTGGATGAGAAGGCAAATAGTATTGTCACCTCAGATACAGAAGCATGAAGCATAAATCAGATAACGTGACTTATCCAAGTACATGTAAGTCAATATCTCACTGTAAATATTAATTGCACAGCTACTCACAGGTTCACCAATTCCTGGAAACTTAGATTACTGAAAATAATCAAGATAGTCTTGATTATTTTTAAGTTACCAACTCTATTGCAAATTAATTGATTTTTCTACATGGATGTTTTTTATATAATTTTTTCTCTTGTGTGTTTGTATTTATCTTCAGTTTCATGGTTTCATATAATTTTCTTTCTTTTGAGGGGTATGTTTATTTGTTATATGTCTGTGTATCTGTGTGTGAATTCCTTTTCATTTGCATTGTTTAAACCCTTTAGATAGTATGAAGCAATTATAGTCAATTTTCAAGGGATAATCACAGTTTCACAGTGATTTGTATATACTTCACTCAAACTCTTTAAGTGCCTGATGTATGTGAAGAGCTGTGCTGTGTTCTCAAGGATATAGAGAAGTTCAAGACATGGAACCTGCCCTCCATTAGTTTACATCTAGCTGTTCAGACCAGATATATATACTGAATGATTTACAGATGAAACACTTTATTATTTTTGGTGTTATCTGGTGAATTACCACAAAGAAAGTACAAGAGACACAAAGACACTCCTTTTCTTTTTGCTACTTAATTTCCATTCCATGTTTCAATGATTTCCTTTGTCTCTGGGCCCCATATTTCAGTCTACCTTTGACCCCCACAGTATCTAAATGGCCAAGGTAATATGCTTCTACATGTGCACCCAACATAAACACTAAATGGGGATTTTTTTTTTAATACTGTGAAAGTTCTCACAGAGGACACTCTTGGGTAGCTTTTGTTTAGGTCTATATAAGAAAATGTAACAGCTAACCAGCCTTCTAATACTCCCAAGAGAAATGTTGTGAGAGGGAGAATGGGACAAGAAGGCAGAAGACTAAGCAGTGAAGGTGGGTAGGGAGGGGAGAATAAGGGAATTAAGCATTACAAGAAGGAGAGAAGAAGAGAAAAAAAAAAAAACAAACAAGAAAAAGAGGATCAACTTTCAAGTGAATGCTAAAATTTTCCAAATTTTGTTACATGGATATCAAATTTAGGAAATGATAGACCTTCTTATTGTTACCAGACATTATCTTCTGATAAACTTATAGGAATTTAATGGCAGAGACACCAGGTGTCAGTCTTATAGAGGCTGCCCTGAGTGTTCTCAATTTTAAAAATTGAGTGGATTTTTTAAAAAGTGGATTCAGGGATTGGATCCACTAGAAGAAATAAACAGACTGATCAATATAATGTAATAAAAAAATGACAATGGGATCAAGTAGCATAGTATATGTAACATTTTTAAGAAGAAACTAACACTGAAATTCAGGGAGCTGAATGGAAAACCAAAGGCACAGGTATATTAAAGTGGGCAATGAAGAGTTACACTTACAATATTTAAAGCACAATGATAGTAGTAACAATATCTCATATTTTTAAAGTAGTTCAGATTTTTCAAAAAGCTTTTCATACAGTTTGAGCAAAACAATAATTCGAGGGAGGCTCCTTTGTAGGCTTTATTTTAAAGGAATATAATGATTCCCCCTCATTTTCTGCCTATCGAATGGAAAGTGCTGAGAATTTTCACTCACTGTTTTGGAAATATCATTTCTATTTTCTGATCAGTCAACCCTTAAGATGTTGCTCAGTATACCCTCCTCCAATCGTTCCCATAAACAATACAACTAGACGGTTCCTGGGCATAGATCGCCGCAGTGATTTATAATCCAGGATTTTACACAGGCGATTGGAGTTAAACTAGAAGCTTTAGTATGTAACAGACTCTAATGGATTTGCAGTATCTCTGGGAGATTTCTGCACAAGAGGTGGAGGCCTAAATTGAACAGCAATATATCAAGAGCACTTTCCTTTTGATCTTCATACTCATGGAAGGGTTTGTTTTAATTAGAGATATATTTAGGTTTGATGATTATAACATGTGTTTCAGAAATGCATTACAACTTTAGTGGCTCAACAATCACTAGCAGTTTGTGCCAGAGAACCTTCATTTAGGGAAAAAATATTTTTAATATGGCTGTGTGCATGGATTTGTGCTTCACACTAATTTAGGCTTCCGACCAAGGGAAACAAATATCTGATAGTTATTATTTTGCCCTTACGATGTCTTGATTTTTAAAATAGATTGTAGTTAAAATGAGAATGGCCATAGGTAAAATCACAGTGTTCACAACGTTATGGTGAAACTATATGTGTGTGTGTGTTTTATAGACATAGTAATATATAGAGTGTGCATGTGTTATAGGTCAAATCAGAATGATTAGCTGGTAATAGTTTGGGGGCATGAGGAATTAATAATTTTGGAGTGTTTAAAGGACTTGAATGACAAGAGTATAAAGGAAGATGGATTTAAAATAATTGAAGTAAAGACACTGAGGTTTTACCAATTAGAAAGTCTTATACCCCTGGGTGTGGACTGATATGGATGTAGACTGTAGGGTGAGACGGGGGCTTGAAGAACACAGAATATCCATAAATTATGCTCCCTCTAAGAAACTGATTAGCTTTCAAAAATGAAAAGTACATTAGCAGTACAACGCAGGTCAACAAGATGGATCAAGTAAGCCATGACAATTGATGGTTAGGGTTTTTTTGTTTTTTGGTTTTTTGGTTTTTTGGTGTGAGAGCTACCAAATTTTGAGGCAAAGGTGTACCCTGGGCAGAATTATGAAGTAAGCGAATTTCGTTCCTGTCCATCTTTTTTCAATGTCTTCCCTCTTGCCTTGGAAGCCCTGCCTTCTCTCTGGTTCACAAAGATAGTCACAAGCCTTTGGTGTTCTGTGATTCTTCAAGATACTCCCATTTTGGAGCTCACCAGCCTCAAACAGAACATCATCTTCTGACCTCCACTGAAACATGTATATTGTGTCCTAAGCATTCATGAAAATTGAGGGGGTGTAAGTATGTATATTAATACACTCCAAGGATGTTCATTCAGTCTCCTTATGCGTCACTTCAAGATGCATATTTATATAGTTAAAGTTAGTATCCATCTGCCTGAGAAGAAATCCTGCACTGAGGCATGGTCCTGTCAGCTGTTAGGGAGTAATTGCAAATCTGGGAAAGCAGAGGTCTTCTTCATTTCATCCCGCCTGTGCTCCCTGCCCCTTCAGCCCCTTAGCTAACCTGAAGCCTCCTGCACACGGGGCAGTGCCCGTCACTCAGCGGCTTCTGGCAGTCTCTACAATGATGCTCAGCCACAGGGCCTCCTCTCTTGATCTAACATCCTCAGGAGAAATGCTGTTTGCAGTCTCCATGTGCTCTTCAGACTGAAGGGGAGAACACAGCCTAAAGAACAGGTGTAAGTGGTCAAGTGTATTTTGTTTCCTCCTGTTAGAATGAACAAATCTGTTGCCATTTGAAATAGCTCTGATTCCCCTTTGTAATGGCAATTCATTAGGCACATATTATGGTGGCTCACGTCTCTCAATGGCACCACACCCAGTGCGCCCTCTACCCCCTGGGGGAATTTCTTTTCTCAATGGACCATAAACAAAACACAAATGTTTTAGATGGAACTTAAGTGTACTGTCCCAGTGGAGACGGTGGGAAAAAGCTAGCTGGAGAGCATAGCTTTCAGAAGGTGCTTCTAATCTACTCATTTTGCTGCTACAAGTGTTTTTACACTATTTTTAACGGCTTTGAAGCTGAATCTTTTTGTTTTTGTTTTGCCCAAGAATACAAAATATCTTGATACATGTAGCCAAGAGTAATCTTAAATAAGTCAGAACATTAATAACAAATAAATTTAGTCAATGTAGATGATCAATCCAAATAATTTAGGACGAAAAAATGCTGTTTATTGAAGATGACTTATATGAATAGCTATCCACATTATCTTAGGGAAATGTCAATTTTTTCCTGGGTGATTTCTAAATAAAACCTAATGCTTTTAATAATACCAAAGAAACCAGTTACAGAGTGAAAAGCTTAGTCAAAACAATTTTATGTGAAATCAGTTTGCTTTACTTAATTATTTCCAACTAAAATGATTCTTTACATATATCATTTAGACACAGCCCAAATCTGTAGACCGTCAGGAACCATGTTACCAAGCGCGCGTTTTAATTTAAAAGTTAATCCCTACAGTAAATACCATATAATTTATTTGATGCTGCAAAGCCTTGTCTTTTATGAAAAACTAAATGAAAAAAGGGGTTGGGAGATGGAAGTAAATTAACCTAACTGTAATCCTTAAAAATGTATAACAAATATTTGGGTGGATCCATAATTAAGATTTATTATTGGAAATAAGGGTATTTTACCTTTTAGGGGATACATTTTGAGATAGTTCAAAGTGCATTCCTAGGAGGTGAAAATATATACCACTAATATGCAAATTTTCTTTGTTAATTAAGATGCTTATCTTTTATTTGTGTCACAAA